CCCCCAAGATCCTGACTATTTACCGTAAGACTGATCAAACACTAGATCAAGCCCAGAAATGTTGTAGAAACCCCATTCCCAGGGATATCTGAAATCCAACTGGACAACACAGTGAGCAACACTCTCGTTGGACCTGCTTTCAGCCGGTGGCTGGAGTAGGCACCTCTGGGGTCAGAGCACCCTGATTCAATACTCCCCAAGTGCGACTGGCCGCCTCTGCTTTCCTCCTCCGGCGCTCAGCTTCCCGGAGACCAGCAGGGAGCAGTGAAAGGCGAGGAATGAAGACTTACCCACCGGACCAGCCGCATTCCTGCAAGGCTGCAGACATGCCGGGAGCGCCCAGCGCTGAAGTTCTGAATGCCCAGCCCAGGGAAGCGGGAAAGGGCCCCGGCCAGCCACCGGCCAAGAAAGGGCATTGCGGAATGCGCCCCCCGGGCACGGGCAGGGCCGGGAGCTCCGGCGGGGAGCGGGGACGCGAGGGCCGAGCAGGCGGCCGGGAGCGCGGGTGGCGACTGTCTCGGGGACCTGGCCAAGGGACGCAGAGTCCGGGGGTGTTTCCTATAGCCGGAGGGTCGGGCGGAGGGGCTGCCCAGCTGGCTGCACCCACGGGTGCCAGCCCACGAGCCTGAGCCCCAGAACTGCGGTGATCTTCCCGACATTGCTGCTGTCAGCGTTGGACGGTGCTTGTTGCTTCAAGCGTCTGGGGCTACAAGGTTCGTATTGCCCAACTGTCCCCTTTGATCTCGAGATATAAACACATGCTTAACAAAAACCGAAATCTAAATTCTTACATAACCACATGACTCCAGGCACTGCGATGATGAAATCCCAAGAAGCATCAAGGCTCTTCCACTGACAACGGACCTGCCAATATCCAAGAGACACTGACCATTTTGCTGGTCAGCTTTGCTACAGGTCAGGATAATGCTTACATCCATTGTGCAAATGAGCACCAAGGCCACAAAGATATTTGCATGCTGCTCTCAGTTCCAGTATAAATTACAGCATGTTGATTTAAACTATAGAACTTTATCCACAAATGACACCTACAGAAAATCAGACACAGGACAAAAAGAAGTCCCAGCAAATGGATGTCCTGGGACCCCAAAAGTCTGGGTTTAGAGGTGGCTGAGCTTAGAAGTGCTGCCTCAGGGGTTTAACTCTGGGGTGAATGACTATGACTAGGGTGGTTGCAGGCATTCCCATCTAAGTCTCTCCACCCTGCTCTCCTGTCCTGGGCTAACACACCTGTTCCAGGGGAGGCAGAAGAAGAATGGGAACATCAGTCCTTGTCACTGGGCATCAGGGAGCTCTGCACAAGCCCCTTTCCTCAGTCACTTGGTTAGCTAATAGCTCTGGGCATGGGCAAGGGTACAGCACAGGCTGCCAGCCAGGAGAGCTGGCAACACACTGTAGACAGCAAAGATAGTATTTTAAATTGCTAGTTAGATCTGTCAGAGCATGACATCCAGATCTTAGAGATGCTCATACATATACATAGAGATATTTCATACATCTGGAGTAGTTCCTTGCCACAAACCCTGTGTGTTACCACTCAGCTGCTTTCACATACACCACCAGGGCATTACTTGGCTCTCTGTGATACAATTGATCCAGCCATTCACGCACTCAGTGCATCAACAAAAGTTGGAAGGGGTCTCTGAAGGCCACCCTTCCCCTCCCTGCTCAAAGCAGAGGGCGGCTCAGGGCTTCAGCCAGTCCAGTTTTGATTACCTCCAAGGCTGGGGGTTCTACAGCCTCTCCACACAACCTGCTCCAGTGTTTGGCCACTTTCATGGTAAAACATAAGGATTTTAGCACATGCTCTGAAGACTGAAGACTCCAAACTGAGCTTAGGCAAATCACTTAGGTCCTGGATATGCTGTTCCACAGGAGTTTATACAGTTCTGTCAGCTACAGCACTTGACTGGTTCTGCAGTAACTTTGGTCAGGGATTCAGTGCAGCCTAACTCCGCCACATAAATACATTCATTGTGCCAGTGTAACTTCCTGGACCATTTAATTGAGAGGTCAGGCAAGTAACTGTGTACAAGCCAGGAATAAAACAGAATTACATGAGTGAAGATCTCCTGAAACTGTAGCTTCTCTGCAATAATGTAATATTGACCTTTGCAAGGGACACAATTTTCCAAAATTTGGAGAATGACTTCCCCAAGGGCTAAGGACCCTTCTGCCCATCCAGACTGCAAGCTCTGCTGCTTACACCTGTAGCACAAACACATTGCAACACAAAATCCACTGGGGAGAGGAGAGGGGAACAAACCACACATTTGTGTATTAGTCACTTTTGAGGTTAATGGGAAAGTGTTCAGATGCTGCTTTGAATAGTTCATGGTAAGCTGCAAAGTAGAACAGAACCCTTCAATCATCAGTGCCCATAAGGAGTTCCAAGATCCTCAGGTGGAAATCATTATATAATAAATACTTCATTCTCTTAAACACAGATGATTATTTCAGTGCATAATGCATCTTAAAAGGAAATACAAACCTTTGCTTAGAAGTCAGAGCCTGTCCTTACCACATTCTGTGTCTGCTCACCTGCAGGGCACAAGCTGTCATGCAATATCCAGTAATTAAGCTATATTTATTATAAGATTGGAAGCTGTGAAGTCATTCCCTGTGCTAGTACACGTGCCTTAAGCTAGCTATGATAATCATTTTCACATGCACCCAACCCATGTTTAGGCCTTCAGCCACAGTTACTCTCTGATGATACAACAACAAGTGACAAAGTGGCATAGAGTCGAAAAATATTGCCAACTTTGGCCATAGAGTGATTTGGAAAAGAGAGATTTTGCTTGGTTTGACTGCATGGAGTTACACTCTATTCCATATATCCAGCAAATGGAATAGGTTGGCACTTTTACCGCAAACATAGAAGTATCACCATTCCAGAACCATCTCATTGGTTCCAGAACCATCCCTACCTATTCTATAAGGAATAAGAAAATAAACTGCATTTATTTTGGCATGAAAATACTTGCATAGTAAAATCCTTCTCATATTATACATTCTAAAAGATATGAAAAGAACCCCCTCAATTCTGAAGTGCTAAAGCTTTCTTGGCAAATCTTGACTTATGTAAATGACATATAACTCTATGGCAGGTTTATGAAGAAGCCATGTTAATACTATTCTGGTGTGATGAGCAAGAGTCTTGCATTCTTGTAGTGCCTTTCTGCAATAAGGAGTAAAACAACAACAACAAGAATTTCATTAGGTCCTGACTAAATGTGTCGGGACTAAGATCCAGTGAAACATTTGCCCTTGGAACCTAAAGATATGTAGAATATGGATAAAACTTTTCTCAAATAAATTATCCTCATCAGGATCATCCCTTCTGAGAGATGCAGCTCATGTGACTATTACTTCATGGTTCTTAAAGGGTGGAAACCATCCCATCAGCCTGCCATGCCCCTTGGCTTAGCTCCCAGGCAGAAACAAAGATCTTGAAAATATGTATCCAGGTAGAATAACATGTTTCCATGTGTGTTATTTTACCATGTTTTCCACCAGTTACAGCTACGTGTCTGCCATTCAGTGAAAAACATCAGTTCGTGTTTCCCTTTAATCCCACTCCATATTTAGGATGATTTGGAGATAATTTATCAAACACTGCAGTCATAGGGATTCCTTCTGGAGCGCTGAACATGTTACACAACCCTTACAACAAGGTAAATCCTCTAACCTGCCAGAGCTTGTTTATAGCCTGGCACAGGCAGCATCTACAATGCCAAGTGAAGCTGGGCCAGGAACTGTTGTGTGCTGGAAGGGCTGGGCAGTCACTCACCCATCCACACCACACAGCACCTGGCTGGGGGTCACCTCCAAACTACACGTGGTCTTAAATGAGTATTATTTCAGGAGTGTTATTTCAAACAGGCAGATTTTAATAAAAGACAGCTTATGCCATAGCCCAGGGGGATGATTTACAACATGAAGCTAAAGGACTTGTCATGTGCCACAGCACAGAGGTGTGTTTGATAGTATGAAACCTGCTGGGATGTTGCTGTATCACCCAAAAGAGTGGAGGGGGTCCAGTCTCAGAGTCTTGCTCACTGCTCACTGGACACATACTACCCTCTGAGCTACCCCTAACCATCATCTTGGAGATTGCTGCTTGACACATGCCAAGACTGTTTCAGAAACCAGAATCATTAATGTGTGGCAGAGCACAGTGGACAAGCAGGAGTCAAATGCCCAAGCTTGATTCCTCCCCTCTTTGATTCAGCAGCACAGGCATAGCCAAGGGACCCAGGCTGGTGGCACCTGGAAATTGCTGACAAATAGCAGCAAAAAAACACAGCCATGGGGGGAGGGGGGAAGAGAATGAAGAGGATGGGAGGATCTGAGAGGCCCGTGGATAGTTAAAGATTTGAAGAGCTGAATTCTTTGAAAGTCTTGGAGTGGAATCCTTATCTGTGCCGAAACCCCATTCTTGGCTTTGTACTCAGTTCTTATGTAATGACAGCAAATTACTTTGTTTTATCTTCCCTGGTGTCCTCGAGGTTAGTGACACATCACCATTAGGTTACGTTGCTATTTTAATTCGACTGCCATACCACATGCCTAAATGCTGCAACAGAGCTTGTCCTTCTCCCCTGTGCTACTGGCAACTGTTATTTTTCCTACCATTAGAATTCAAATGCTTCATACAGGAATATCATCACTCTCATGCTGAAGCACCCAATATACTTCAAAGCAGTGTCAAAAGAGTGTTTTATTTAAAACCCAAATACCCTCACAATATCTGAATTCCATGTACCTTTCAGATTATATGCTTTAGGATTAACACTGCTACTGCATTTTATGGCCTTTGCAATACCATTATTCAAGGAAAATATTTAATTTTGCGAACAAAACCAGATAAATACTATATTATGAGTTGGTTTCTCTTCCCTTCTTCCCGAGCATGAGAAGATTCAAGATGGGCTATTTGAAAAGCACTCAATCCTTACCAAGTGAAAGATGCAATGCAATCAGAATTAAAATTAGTCCTTTAATGTTGCAGCTGGTTGTCCATAGCCAACAGACCAAGATACAAAACATTTGTATAAAAACAGAGCTCAAATCTAATCAGTAAAGGAGAGCTGAAAATCTGTTGTTGTGCAGACTAAAGATGCCAGGGAGTGGCAGAGGACAGGACACCACTCCACAGAACAAGAGCTCCTTAATTGGAAATGATAAAGCTACATTGTCCACATGCTAGTTCCAGCCTTCTTTTGTTTTCCCATGATATCCTGTTGATATAATTCCAGGTCCCTTGTGAACATCCGCTGTTTCCAAATGAGAAGAATGGGTGGTGTTGGTTTCATTTCAGCCCCTCACTGGGTCACCAGCCTACCTCTGCCTGGAAAGGCTCCCGGATGCAGCTCCAAAGAACAACCTTATCAGCAAAAGATCTGAACAGATAAGGTGCACGGACATATGAGATCACATCTTCTGGTAATTTAAACAATTCAAACGCCATTATAATATGGAAGCACAGGAAAAAGCAAAAGTTCAGCTAAATCCCTACAAACCCACATAGAAATAGTCATATTTGATGAAATCAAGCACAACTTTTGCCCCTCTCTGTTATCAACCACAGTGTTCTGACATTACCTGGTAGCAACCACTTGAAGAAAGTAGTGTGGACAAAATTAGTGGTCAGTGTGTAGTGCTGCCTCACCACAGTATTCCCTAAGGTCCCAGAAATTTCAAAATCAGGACTTGCACAGCCAATGGGTATATTTGTGTCTTTAATAGTCCTCACTAGCTTTTATTTGTGTTCATTTTCTGGAGTTTTCATCTCAAAAAAAAACCCCAAAAAACAAAATACCTTGTAGTATCCACAAAATCAGGCAAAAATGTTTTCTACAAGTACCCACAGAATGAGCAACCTTGTCAAATCTGGTTTTATTCTACGTTTCCCCAAGTTTTGCTTGTTGTACTGAAAGAAACCCCCCCTAACTTGTGTCTGTGAAGCTGAAGAGTCCTAGTTACCTTACCTGCTTCTGACCTAGAAGCTGTCCCACACTTCCTAACATTTGTCTGAACCTCTTACAATGCTCTCTGTGCTTCTCAAGATCAGAACTGTACACAACATTCAAAGCACTGGCACACCATGGATTTATCCCGTGCCATGATGACACTCTTTGCTTTTATTCTCTTGCTCTAATTCCTTATCTCCTAACACTCGATTTGCTCATTTACCAAGCCTTGAACTGGGGTTTTCACAGAACTATTATTATGCCAAGAGCTTGTTCCCAAGTGATAAATCAGCTTCTAGGCTGTTTCTGTATGATTGAAATGGACTGTTAATCTCCCATTTAAAACACTTTACATGTATGTACATCAAATTGTACCACCCACTCACTTTGTATTGTGATGTTTTACTACATTTTCTCTCGGTCCGCAAGCTCCAATTCAGATCCTCGTGGAACTTTGCATGTTGGCTCAATCCATGGAGAAATAGTTTTGTTCTGTCTTACAGAGACCTGTCTTTAATGCAATGTCATCTATCCACATGAAAGCATCTCTTATTCTACAGTTCCTTCAGAAGGTTTTGCTCACAGATTTTGTTGAATACTTTTAAGAAACCCAAGTAGGAAATACCAGCTCAATGTCTCTTGTCCACATGCTTTGCTGACTCCTCGCAGGACTCCAAACAATCTCTGAGGCCAGGAGTTCTCATTAGAACTCCTCTCTGCCATCTTTCACAGTACCTCATTTTCTCCCTGCATCCACTAGTTCACTTTTTAAAGTTTTTATTAACTTGGCTGGTACAGAGAACAGGCTCATTGCTCAGCAGCTCTACAGAATTTTTCAGGCTGCTGGTATTTTTTTTTTAATTGGCATATTAACTATCTTCCCTGTTTCTGTTACCAAAGCCCTTCTGAATGCAATGTTACACAAAAACCATTAGTAAGCAGCTCAGCTTTTTCAGTCTTGACTTCTCTTAAAACTCTTGGGTGAATATAATGCAATCCAATTGTTCAACACTTTTTGTTTTAGCCATTTGTTTCACTACCTTTTCTACAGACCTTCAGTTTGAAACAGATCCTCTGATAAATCTTTCATAAAATCAAGTATAAGTATGGGAATATTCTTAGGTTCCTCTACAATGAGCATAGAGCAAAATCTTAATTTAATTTTTCTCCAGAACCTTATCTCCTCTGAATAATCCATTTTTATTTTGACTGTCCACTGGCTCTGATACCTCTTTTGGCAAACTTTCTGTTCTATTTTGACGGAAAGCGGTAGAGTCGGATTTTTGTAACAAAATAGTAACAAAAAGTAACAAAAAGACAGATGGCAGGAGGACTAGCAGAGCGAGGATGTGGGTGTCTGCTCGCCCGGTAACTGCAGCCACGTTCATAGGGCAGCTCTTGTGCTCTTGTGCTGCAACTGCAGGTAAAAAAGAAAAAAAAAAAAAAAAAAAAAAAAAAAAAAGTAATAGGTAATAGGTAATAGGTAATTCTTCCACCTACTGCTGGAGATAAAAGCCAGTTGTCAGCTATGGGGGAGGTTGGGGTGGTTTGTTTCGTTTTGTTTTCCCACCATCACGGATCAATTCTTGATGGCTATGGAGATTTCCGGGAGGGGGTGATGCCACGGAAGCCTAGCTAGGGACAGCGAGAGCTGCAAACCGCCGCGTGTGAGCTCGCCCGGGACTCAGCACCCAGCTGCTTGAAATGCCCGTGCCTTCTCCTGACGCTTTACCCTGCAAGGGCAACGGGAGCGCCGGAGGCGGCGGAACGGAGGCCGGGCTGCCTGCTCAGCCCACCCGGGGGCTCCACCTGCGAGGAGCCGGGTGGGGCAAGGCAGGGAGCGGTGTCCCGGGCCGCGGGGCCGCGGCCGGGGAGCACGGCCGCCCGTCCCGGTGCCCGTCCCGCCCTCGGGCTCCTTCCCGCCGCCGCCTTGCCATATATGGGCACGGCCGGAAGCGCGCGCGTCACGGCGCTGGCTCGCGGCGTCCCCGCGGGGAGCGGGACGTCACGTCACGTCCCCGGCGCGCCCGCGCGCGGCGCCCCGGCAACCAAACAGTAAACACGGGCGCGCGCAGGCGCAGAGAGGCGGGGCGGGGCTGCGGCGGGGCCGGTGCGACGCGGGAGCCCTGCGCTGATGGCAGGTACCGGCCCCGGGGCACGAGCCGCAGGCGGGGTGCGGGCCGTGCGCTCAGCAGCGTGTCGGGACTGCCGCTGCTGTCTGCACCGGAGCTGCCCTGGAGCCGCAGCACCCTTCTGCGGCCGGGCAGGACGTGCTGCTGGGCTGGGCAGCCCTGCTGTGTTCTGCCATAAACGCGTTTAAGGACCTTCACGTTGTTTTACAGCTCTGCTTTCTGAAATTCCTAACAATTCCACTGTGCCTTGCGTTGCGTTGCAGTTGCATTTCTAAGAATTAATTACACGACCGCCCTCAGAGGGATCAGGAGCACAGGAGGCGTCAGAAATAACACGAGGGTTCCCTACGTGTCTTATCTCGTTCCATTGTTGTGTTTCACAAAGCTTTGTGCTGGTATCTGTGTGATGGATCAGATACAGCTTGTAATTGAAGCACATGCTTATAACACATTGCAGGCGGAGATTGCTGCATTATTCCTCAGTTGAAGATAGTGGCAAGATTCTCCCTGTTTTAAGTGCGACTTCACTATATAATTCTCAAATGCCAGGAAGCAGATAAATCATGTTCATAACACAGTATAAGTTTTATGTAAAACATCCTGAATTCTGGATTGTTTGTGGCTGAAGGCAAGGAGTAAGGCTGGAGCCTGGGGTTAGACATAAAGTGTCTCATGTAGCGCCACCCCTGAATCTGACATCTTTGCATAACAAATGCAAAAGCTGTCGCTTAGACTTGGCACTTGCTATCATTTCTGTTAAAAAGAGAAGCCTTGGTTAGGCTGCAGGACTGCTCTCTGAATTTAACTCTAGATTTTGCTTTAGCCTGTCCGATGATCATGAGAGATGATGGGGCCAGGATCACTCTACCTAATTTGAGGTAGAAGCTACTTTTGAACCATGTGGTATTTTTGGACTTTGTGGACCAGTTTGCTTTCAGCCTCTGCTGAACGTCTGGTGATTTCAGCAGCATGCATGGGCTCCCAGAGACCTGAATTGTTCAGCTCTGAACTTGATGGTGTTTCAGCAAGACATCACATTGTCATTCCAGATTTGCTGACTTCACAGGGTTACCTGTCACATAAGTCTGACTCTCCTGTCATGGTTCAGTGCTGCTGTGCATTTGCTGTGGCTGGGTGTTGCCCGTGTAAACTCAAGTGGCTATGTGAAAGTAGCTGCTGCTTAGTAGCAAGTGGGATTAGTCTTCATCACTTGTCAGCTCTGCCTACAGATTAATGTTGAAAGATGGGAAACTGCACTCGTAATATTTGCTTTTACACAGGGCAGGCCTTGTTGAGCAAGTCATGAAGCTGCAACACTCAGTGCTGAGATGAGATGGATCCTGTGTGTGTTCTCATTAGGGAAGGGGTGGAAATAAGCCTGCTGCAGTGACCAGGAGATGTGGACTTAGAGAAACCTGACCCTGAATGGCAGCCTACAGTGATTCCCTGAGACTATGGTGTCAGGATGGCCTTCAGCTGGACACACATACCAGCACAGGTGACATCTTTGCTTTCACTTTGAGAAAGGAGTTCTCAAGTTGGAGTGGCAGGGCTGGAGGCTGTCAGGGAGGCCTTGCCACTCTCAGGGGACCCTTCACGTGCAGCCATCAGGGAGGGAGCAGACCACTGCTCCGCAAGCAGGGAGAACCTGGCCCAGCTGCTGTCCTGCCAGCAGAGCACATTTCACTGCACGAGCAGCAGGGCTGACAGAGGGAAGCAGCCTTTCTTAACTGACTCAGCAGGAGAGACCACATTTCCAGAGACCCCAAGGAGGCAGCATGTTCCTAGAACGTGCGTGCCATTTGCTAGAACTCATTCATTCAAGGACTGGGCTGGCTTTAATAGAAACTGTAGAGCCAGTGGTTTGCCTTTATACCACTCACCCCACAGTGAGGAGTGCACAAGCCTTTCTCATCCCCTCATGTCCAAAGAAGATAGGCCATAGTTACTCCTAGAGGAACCAGACCACATCCAGGGACAAGGAAGTTGAGTTGTTAGGGACATGGAAATGATCATGTGGGCCCCAGAGATGCCCTTTCAGCACTTTCCAGCAAGACCTCCAGCTAGCTGGTGAAAGGCCACAGCAGGTGACACACAGATACAGAAGGGGACCAGACCCAGACAGCTCAGCTGGGAAAGGCCGTAGGGCGTGACCTTGGTGCCTGCTGGAATGGGTGTAACCACAGCCAGCCCTGACTAGCACCAGGACAAGGACAGGGCTGGCCTAAATGGTATTGCCACCCTTATGCACCCTTAGTCTCAGGCAGATTGCAGGTGTCTGCAGTTTATAAAGCCCAGACAAAATTAGAGGCTAGAGAACGCCTTTGAGGTCACAGAGAAGCAGGTGCAAAAGGTAACACAAGGACAGCTCCAGCAGTCAACTTAAATGCTTTTATTGACAATGTCTCTGAACAATAATAAGCAAACAATGCTTAAGTTTCATCCAAATTCACTTTCCACATGTCAAAAAAGACCTCAAGGTAGAAAAAAATAAAATAAAAATATAAATATCTGATAATCCGTCTTAATAAATAAATTAAAAACACAATAAAAACGTTTTCATGGAAAACTTATGTCAGAACATTCAGACCACCTCAACAATGCATGATCAGTAAAGTTACAATGAACATCAATGTAGAACTACAGTACATGGATATAGCTATTCATCTACCTACTAGAAAATAAAATAGAGTCTCTTTCCCCCCACATAAGATGGGTCATTGCTAAGTCATCAGAACACGATATTGCCAGGAACACAGTAGTTATTGTTAATCAGCTGCACTAGATACGAGTTGGAGATACCCAGCACCAGGTTAAATTCCAATCATTTAAAACCAAGAGATTAATTAGTTAATGCTAGTGATACTAAGGAGGGGAGGGAGTCACCTACCCAGCCATGTGGGACATGCTACAGACTACCAGCTCTCATGGATGGGCCACTGGGGACAAGACAAACTCCATGCGATTTGCTACATCTCTGGAAGAGGTAAGAGACCTCGGTGCATGACGCTCTGCCAGGCCCCGGGGCGCCAGGCCAGACAGGGGGTGGCGGTGGCAGGGCCCTCCCCAGGCCTGGGGAGCCCCATGGGGCACAGCTGCAAGTCCGTGGGGGTGCGTGGGCAGGGGAGGGGGCCCAGCAGGTCAGTCAGTGCTGGAGCCCTTCACAAAGCCAGCAGGGTGGGGGAGCTGAGGGAGTCGGACGAGGGCTCGTTGCTGCTGCTGCCCTTCCGGTGCGCGGCAGCGCAGCTGGGGAAGGCCTCTGCCTCGGGGTAGGTGAAGACGAAGGTGGAGGTGTAGGTGCTGGGGCACGGAGTGCAGGTCACCACAGGGGTGCAGAGGGGCTCCAGCTCACCGCTGGTCCCGGCAGTCAGCGACTCCCAGTCCGACGGGTAGAAGGAGGCCCCAGGCAGGTCCATGTCGGGCACAGAGCGGGAGGCCTCCCGCGGCCCCGTGGAGAAGAGCAGCTCGTCGAAGGGCTCAGCCTTGAGCTCCAGCCCGCTGCTGCCGGTCTCCTTGGGCGGCACGGCCGGCGGCGCTTCAGGCATCAGCGGCAGAGCAAAGGCAGCCTCCTCGGTCATGGGGGGGCTGGGGGTGCCCAGGTCCAGCGCGGTAGCGGCGCTGGCAGCTGCCAGCTCCTCGGAGAAGCACAACTCCTCGGGCATCTTGCAGGCGGGACGGTGGGCCGCCAGGATAAACTCCAGTTTCTCCTTCTCCTTCAGCAGGTTAGCAATCTCCGCCTGCAGCGCGGACTTCTCCTCCTCCAGCTGGTCGGTCTCCTGCAGAGAGAGCAGGCTGTCAGCCAGGGCCGGCATCACTCCCAGCTGGAGTCCCCTTCCTCCTGTCATCCCCGCCCCCGGTACTTCCCCCGCCACCTCCCGGGCAGCACTTACCGCCTGCAGCGTGTCGGTGAGCTCCCGCCGCCGGTTGCGGCACTTGGCCGCTGCCATCTTGTTCCGTTCCCGGCGAATCCTTCTCTTTTCCTCCTCCTCCGGGGACAGCTGCGGGCAGAGAGAGACAGCTCAGTCCCGCTGCCAGCCCGATGCCCCCCGGCCAGGGCAACCCGCCGGCGGTGCGTCTCCCCAATCCCCCCCCAACAACTCGATCCGCACTCACCTGTTCGACTTTGCCCCGGCGGCCGATGCTCTGTCCGCGGCCGCCCGGCGCCTTCAGCACTGCGGGGCGGGAGTAGGAGGTGGTGGGGGCGGCCGCCGAGACGCCGTAGGGGTGCCCGCGGCTCTGGGAGGGGGCCACTGAAGAGATGAGAGTGGGCTGCACCAGCCACTGCAGGTCGGGGCTGGTGGAGATAGCCGTCACCGTAGGCACAAAGCTGGCGCTGGAGGCGGCCAGGTCGGTGCAGAAATCCTGTAGGTCAGAGAAAGGGGGGCTGCCGTCAGCGGAGCGCCCGGGCCGCTCCCCGCCGTCCCCGGGGCCGCGGCGCCGCGCTGCCAGCGCCGGCTCCACACGAGAGCGGCCTGTTATAAATATCTCTGACGTCCGCGCTGACGCAGACGCCGCTCCGGAGTCTCCTCAATGAACTCGCGTTTTATCAATGAAGCCGCTTTACACACCCGCCGCAGAGCGCGGCCCGGGCTACGGCACCCCCCGACCGCCCCGCCTCGGCACCGGGGCCGCTCCCCATGCCAGTCCCCAGCCTGACCTCCTCCGCGGACACGGCCAGCCCCGCGCCACCCGCTCCCATCCCATCCCCTCGTAAGCGCTCCTGCCCCGGCCAAGAGCGCAGCCGGCACGCTCAGCAACTCACCTGCGGGTTGACAGGCGAGCCCATGCTCGAGAA